GCCGAAATAAAACAAATAAGACTTTTTCTAGAAGACAAAATATTATCAGACATACTGTGAAAATTTTCTTGCTCTGTCAAACATCATTTGGGAAATATTTAAAAAAGAAAAAAAAATCAAAAGGGGGCTAATAATTCTGACTTCAACTGTATATACGTATACAGTATATATACACACACACACACACACACACACATATATATATATATATATATATATATATATATATATATATATATATATATATATATATATATTCATGGATATACGCAAGGTGTGTATATCATATATGATATACACACATACAGAAAACAAAATAATACAAAAAAATTTTAGTTAGTTATTTAAATTATATAAATAATTTATATTCATTTCTACGGGTTTGTCCCTTTCAAAGGTCACCACAGTGAAATGAACCCGCAACTATTCTGTCATGTGTTTCATTAGATTCACTATCACATTGCAGCCGCAACCCAGTACTGGGAAACATCCATACACACTCGCATTTACACACACACACTCATGCACTAATGCCAATTTAGTTCATCCAATTCACCTATAGCACATGTTTTTGGACTGTGGGGGAAACTGGTGCACCCGAAGGAAACCAACACCAACACAGGGAGAACATGCAAACCCCGCACAGAAATGCCAACGGACCCAGTCGGGCTCAAACCAGCGATCTTCTTGCTGTAAGGTGACAGTGCTAACCACTGAGCCACTGTGCTGCCTATACTTTATATTATATAGATAATATATAATAGGTTATATAATTGTCTTATAGATTTCAATATTTTTTTAAATGCCTTAAAACATTTTTGCAATATGAAGCAAACATTTCTTTTTCAGTATTTTCTGAATGTGAAATACATTTTAATATTAATAAATGTTGTAAACATTTTAATATTGCTTTCAAAGTATTTTAAATTAATAGATTAGATAAATAAATGTTAAAATAGAAAAATAAAATAAAATTAGACGTTAGACAAACCCAACTAAAATGTTTCAAACAGCAACATCCATTTTGAAAACATTATTCAATCAGGAAACTCACATTCTATTAACATTACAGGAAAAGCTTTGACAATATTTTCCAAGAACACCTGTTCGATTTAGTCATTTTACGGCGAATAAACGAGGTATTACAATTTTAATCACTAGATTTTACTCTAAAAAAAGGATTTATTAGATGGATGTACAACAATTTTTTAATAAGTGGTTGGAAAAAAATTATATGGGCTTATTTTACACAAACAAGTAAAATTTATGTTCAACGTGCTTTGTTTAAATTCAGCCCATATACATTGTTTGCATTCACTTATCTTAAAAAAAAATTGTTAATCTAATGAATTTTTTTCAGTGTAATATTTAATATACACTGAATATTTTGTAATATTTACAACATACAGGTAAATATCGGCAGCATTATCACTAATGTCTCACTAGGGCCGAGCCGATAAATTATAGTATATTGAATTGTGATAATTTATGTTGAGAACAATGACAAGCTCTGGACTTTTGTACTCTAAACTGATCGAAGAGTAGAAATGTGCAACAATGGGAATCTAGAAGCATGTTAATAATAGAGATGCAAGAAGTATCGGCCACCGAAAATAAGTTATGCTATTTAATGGACCCTCTTATTTTTGTGGCTTCAGTCATTGTTTGGAACTTGGGATACTCTTTTAAACCTGGAAGCATTAACAAATAGTATTGAAATTCCTTCATTCATTTTCCTTCAGCTTAGTTTCTTTATTTATCAGGGATTGCCACAGCAGAATGAACTGCCAACTATTACAGCATATGTTTTACACAGCGGATGCCCTTCCAGCCACAACCCAGCACTGTGAATCCGAGAGGAAACCCACGCCAACATAGGGAGAACATGCAAACTCCACACAAAAATACCAGCTGTCACAGCTGAGGCTCAAACCAGTGACCTTCCTGCTGTGAAGCAACAATACTAACCGATATATATATATATATACATATACATATGTCGTTATTGCTCAATATGAAAAAATATTAATCGAGATTGCATTTTTGCCATATCGCCCAGCTGTCTCACTGTCAGATTTCAGATGTGACGAGGTAGATATAATCCCAGGCATTGTTTTTTTTTTCCTGCTAGCACTCGTTGCTTGGCCTCAGGACAGCACAGATGGCATAAAGAGCATTAAAAACATCTGCGATCTCTCGAAGTCTGTGTCAGTAAATGCACAGAATACACTGAACTCCACTGTTGCTGTTTGCTGAGCATCTGCGAAGGCCTTTCTAAGCATATGCAAAGCTCCTGTTATTGATCGCTCTTCAATTATGTGTCAAGTCTGTGAACTGTTTGTGCTAAACGTGTCCTATAGCTGAACAACTGACCAATCATTTACCTGCTTCAGAGAAGAGCAATTCCAGCGTCATGGATGTGACATTTGCAGTAAATCCAACACAATCTCACGGCAATTTGTAACTTTTTGATTTAGG